AAAAAAAAAAAAAAAGAAAGAAAGAAACAGCCATCTGCATTTGTGAATTAGAACAAAATGTGGAATGTGTTAGTGTGGGGAATCAGAATTGCCCACCTCAAAATATGTCTCTTTGCCTTGATTATTTTCAAGAACAAAAGACTCTGAAAGAAATTTTGACCTCCCCTGCACTAACTGCCTAAAAGAAATTTAAGATAGAAGGCCTGTCCCTAGGACAGGCCATCACCATAGATAACTCTGGGTATGGATAGACTGGGAGGGTCCTTACTAAGCCCATTCTTATCATAGCTCTGTTTACCAAACATTTGCTTTTCCATTTTCATGTGAATTGAGTTCCTCCCCTTTGAAGTCCCAAACAACTACCTGCAACACCCTCCTTTGTCTTTATTTATTTATTTTTTTTTAAAGATCTTATTTTTTCCCCCCAAAGCCCCAGTGGATAGTTGTATGTCGTAGCTGCACATCCTTCTAGTTGCTGTATGTGGGACTCGGCCTCAGGATGAACGGAGAAGTGGTGCCTCGATGCGCACCCGGGATCTGAACCCAGGCCACCAGCATCGCAGCACGTGCACTTAACCACCAAGCCACAGGGCCGGCCCCCCTCCTTTGTCTTTAGCTGAAGTTCTAATTAAGATGACAACTTTGGCCAGAATGCTGAGTTACTCAGTTTTCCTGGGTCTCTCCCATGTATACACGTTATAAAGCTTTGTTTGATTTTCTCCTGTTATTCTGTCTCATGTCAATTTAATTCGTAGCCCAGCCAGAAGGACCTAGAGTGGGTAGAGGAAATCTCTTCCTCCCCTACATTAGCAAACCCAAGGCTATTGCAACAAGAATTTTTAATGCAAAAAGAATCCTTATTTACTGTAAATGCAACAATATTTCAAAATATAGTTAGCAAAAACTGTAAGAAGAGCCAGGTGACAAAAAGCATGGCATAGGCTCTGGAGCCAGAGAGCTGGGCTCAACCCTGGCTCTGTCACTTTCTAACTGTGTGATATTGGGCATGTTACTTAACTTCTCTGTGCTTCAGTTTCCTCCTTTGTAAAATGGGGATAATGACAATAATTACCATTGAGGATTGTCTTATGGATTCAATGAGTTAATATAAACACAGAACTAAGAACAATGCCTGGAACAGTGAGTGCTCAATGAATGTTTACTATTATCTTTTTATTTCTACCTAAGAAATTCTGAGTACTAACACATGCTCATACCCAACACATATGCTTCTGACGCGAAAGAAGAAAGAAAGGGTGAAATTCAACTCAGTAAAAAAGCAGAACTGATACAGAACCTATATTTGCCACCAAAGCTAGGGGTTTTGTGATTAAATTTGTGACCTGGTTTAAAATAATTCTAGGCAAATAACATTACTCACAGTTGGAAAATCATGAAAATTGGTTTCTGTAAAGACTTAGAAGATCTTGGGATTATTTTAATATTTTGGTTGGAAAAATAGGGTAGCAAAGTTTAATATAATGGATTTTATATTAACTTGAGCCACTGAAGGATTTTAAATACTCATTTTGAACTGCATGAGACAGTTAAAATCCCACCAAAAAGTAACAGGTAACAAAAGGATCTGACAGAAGCTAGTAAGCCACAATGTAACAGAAAGCTACTGGAACTCCTAAATTCTCCAGGACTGGTAAGTGCTGGGCTCATAAACTTGTAATAACATTCTTTTTTTTTTTTAAAGAATAGCCAGATTTTAATATTTTTTGTTTTTGTTTCTGTTGAGGAAGAGTGTCTCTGAGCTAACATCTGTGCCAATCTTCCTCTATTTTTTGTGTGTGGGATGCTGCCACAGCATGGCTTGATGAGCAGTCCGAGCCTGGGATCCGAACCCTCGAACACCGGGCTGCAGAAGCAGAGCGCACGAACTTCACTACACCACCGGGCCGGCCCCCATAATAACATTCTTAATTTATCAGCGTTTACCTGGACAAGCCGACTCTGACACCAACAATCACAAGATCATTTTTAGCAAAAAATTCACTGAGACCAGTTTTTAGTTCAGCATCGGTTTTGTTGAAATTCAGGTTTCCAACAAGCAGTCTAAAAGTTACAGGTGGTTCAGCTGCCATACAAAGAGATAAGAAAAAAAGAACTCAAATAAACAGTTCAGAAAGAATGATGTTAACAGAAAACTCCATTAAAGACTCTGGAATACTGTAACCCCAAGCTGCAATAAATAGCCCCTTGTTTATCATTTGGGCTAACAGAGTTTAGTTTCTGCCAATGTGAAATTCTCCATGTGTCTCTTGTGCTTTAAAACACAGTGAAGAAGTTACCTTCTAATTTCTGTTTTTTAGTTTCAGGGGAAGCCTTCTGTTGGGCCATTTCCGTTTTCCGTTTATCAGGTGTTTTTTTCAGAAGCTCTGTGGGCAAAAGCCAGAATATTGTATTTTTAATCATCTGTCTGCGCCACTAATGGATAAACTGGAAGCTTCTACTCTATCCACAAAATCAAACCTACACTCTGCCTATTCTGCACAAGACACATGAGTAAGGTTTGGTCAGAGTACTTTTAAATGCATTTATAGGGGGCCGGCCCCGTGGCTTAGCAGTTAAGTACGCGTGCTCCGCTACTGGCGGCCCGGGTTCAGATCCCGGGCTCGCACCGACGCGCCGCTTGTCTGGCCATGCTGAGGCGGCGTCCCACATACAGCAACTAGGAGAATGTGCAACTATGACATACAACTATCTACCGGAGCTTTGGGGAGAGAAAGGGGAAAAAAGAAAAAAAGGAGGAGAATTGGCAATAGATGTTAGCTCAGGGCCGGTCTTCCTCAGCAAGAAAAAAGAGGAGGGTTGCCATGGATGTTAGGTCAGGGCTGATCTTCCTCACAAAAAATAAATAAATAAATAAACGCATTTATAAATTAATTAGAAAGTTCAAGTTCATAAAAGAAATCCAATAGCCTCTGCTTCCCTTACAACTGGAACTCCTTGATACGGGCCACCACTTAACAGAGCTGATTTAGGCCATTCTGACCTTCCTTCTCCTCTTCCTCCCAGCCTTTGTCATCATCATCATTGTCCAGCTCATCTTCCTCCACCCCCATAGGAAGGGCTTTTCTCCCTCTGGCCCATGTAGAATACCAGGCTTCTTTTTCAGAATCTAAATGAAAACCCACCTAATCAATTTCTGCCACATACACTTGTTAAGAATGAGAATGACAAATTGTCCTTTCAGATAAACTGCTCATAAATCTATTTACACAAATCTAAAAAAAAATTTCACTGCCATTTTAACTTTATTTTGAAATAATTTAAAGTGCACTGCTGTTGTATTTTAATAAAAATAGTAAGAATTACTTCTTTGGAAGCAATACCATTTAAAACGTTATACAGACTCTGCCAAGATAAAAAAAAAATTCACTGAGAATCATGTTTGGGGGAAATGAACCTGCTTGGCTCATAAGCACAAAGATAGAAACAATCAATGTGTAACACTCAAGGAGAAAACTCTGATTCCGATCACATGGACAGCAGAGGTCAAATGTCCACTGAGACTCCTCATCTATGAAGCCAGGCCGGAAGACTCAGCCAGGGATTGCCACGGCAACTTTCAGAAGGGTGGTATTTTCACAGAACTCTTCCAAGAGCGATGGAACGGCATGCAGGGCTGACCTCTGAGACCTTACGGCCACCAGCCAGGAACACCCCCAGAAGAGGATGCTTTACCTTCCTCCTCCTGGTCCAACTCACTGTTCTTACCTTCATCCTCCTCATAGTTCTCATTTCTCTCTTCACGGTCCTCTAGCTTGGCACTCTTCTTGTCTTTTGGCAGCTTGGCCCATGTAACTCCCTTCCTGTGGTGTGATATTAATTTCTCAGCAAACGTGGGAGCTAGAGACCTTTTTCCCCCTACTTTATTTCCTGGAGCAGTGGTAACCTTCCTACCATTCTTCCGAGGGATGACAACCTAGAGGAGAAAGGACAACAATGAAAGGTCATCTCCCCTATGCCCACGAGGTTACAATCACATTGTACACTCAGCAAGTGCAAGATTTGGTTGGGCACGTATGTCAACATCTACGTCGCTCTCTCTAGGATGAATTTCTCAATGTGTAGTAAAAGAGGTCCCAGCACCAGAATCGCCTGGCTTGCTTGTCTAAAGAAAAAAGAAAAAAAGAAAATTCTGGGACTTCACTGGAGCTATCATATCAGAATCTTTACAGGGAAGGATCTAGGTTTCTAAAAGTATACAAGCCACCACCCTAGGAAAATATACCAAGTCAACTACTGTGTAGGTGGCTCCACGTGCCTTTAGCATCCCAACTCTTCACATACAAGTAAAACACCAAAGGAGAGGGCCCCCCGACAGGCAAATGGAGCATACACAGGAATGAGAGCCAAGCCCAGTGATTGGACCTCATGCTTCCTAATTACATCATCAGTTCCCATCCCATAGCTACTAATAACTGGGCATGGTATTATAAAACTAAATAACTAAAGATGAAAATTTTAGCAGAACACTGAATGAAGTCTCACCATATACAAAAGGACAAAATGAAGAAATGATGGATGACCAGTGAAGACACAGCAAGATGGCAGACATCTACAAGCCAAGGAGAGAGGCCTCCGAAGAATCCAAACCTGCCAACAATTTGATCTTTGACTTCTAGCCTCCAGAATTGCGAGAAAATACATTTCTGTTGTTTCAGCCATTCAGTCTGATATTTTATTATGGCAGCCCTAGCAAATTAATACAACTGGTATACATACAGCTCAACTCACATCACCGGAAGAAATAAGTACCTATAATATGATGCGATTAGCATTACTGGTTATGAACAAAATTTATAGGCAAACAGATGAGGGACCAGTTCATCTAGCATGGGAATGATGTGGGAGCAGGGAAGGCATGTGCAAGAGACTAGAGTTTGAATTAAATCATTTCAATGAGCCAACACTAGGGTGCGGTTACCCTAAAAGTTAATCTAATTGTGACAGTACTACTATATGCTGCACCAATCAGGGTGAACCGTCATAGAAACCACATTTTAAAGAGGAATGGCCGAGGGTTACCAGTGTGAACAGTCTAGAACCATATCACATGCATATCAGCATAAGGAAAATATAACGTGACTATTTCTGTTTTCCTCCAAGCTAAAAGTCTGGGTTCTAAAACAAAAGTTGCGCACACTAAGAATTTTTTGGCTCTGATTGGTACAGAAAGCTAATACAGTGTATTGAGAATATCATAGTCCAGTAGATGCTCTCTTAATCTTGTCTACTTAACTATGTTATACTAAACTATATCTGTGGTTGGATTAAACGACAGTCTCAATTTCAAATGGGACTTACTAACTTGATGCCCACGAAATGCCAAGCCCATGTGGCTGGTGGGCCGCTCTGTGGTTCTAGTGCACCTGGGCATTTCTGTTCCCATGAGTTCAGCTGTATCCTTAATAAGTATCAGTTGTGCTTGTTCGCAAACCTGTACATGACCATCACATTTGCAGTTTCAATTACATAATAAACATCATATAAACCAATCAAATTATGCAAAAAGTAAGTTACTGAATCTATGCAAACAAAGTTCAATGCTTTGGACATACTTAATAAAGCTTAAAAAACTGCAGTCAAATTAGGTGTGCATGAGCAACCACAAAAGAATGGAAAAAATTGTAAAAATGTAGGAGTCTATACTCAAATTGCTTTACTAGGGTTTTTAAAGTTTTGCTTTGCTTTAAAGAAATAAACTTCAAATTGCAGAAGATGCACCATGGGTGCACTTTATATAGGGAACATGAGCTACTCTAACAAAGAACTCAAAGTCAAAGACAAGGCTGTAGTCCCACATCAAAAGATTGGGAAAGAAATACATATTTAACATGATTTAAAATCAAAAGGTACATATGGACCATTTTTAGGATTCCCCACTTTTACTTCCAATTGATACAACCACCACCAGACTGAATAGGATTGAGGAAAGTTTCTATCATACAACTAGCTGCTCAAAGTAGACGACAAATACATGCTGTCTGCCTTTCAAAATGAGTTGCTTGCGGGGAAGACTGAGAAATGAAGTGGGGGAGAGTCAGGGCTCTGGATTTGGCATAACCATGTATAATTCCAGCCGTCACTTACTAACTGTGAAACCACGAGCTAGTTAGTTAATGGTTAAATCTGTTTTCCCATCTCTAAAATGGAGCTAATGATGCCTCTCAGTATGGTCACTTTGAGGATGAAATGAGATAATGCATAAAACCCTAGCACAGTGGCTACACATAGGAAGCATTCAATATGCATTAGCTGTGTATCCACTCATTCACCTCAACTCTTTTAAGACTCAAACGTATCTATATTAAAATACCAATGCAGAGGCTCCCAGCCAGAAGCAGAACACAGTAGGGACCTAAATATTTGTCGAAAAAATAAATATAGAAAGATATGTTTGGCAGACACACAAACCAATGGATTTTAATGAAGCAATTTTAAGAATCAAGAGATTTTCTTTCAAACCAGTATTTCCAGACAACCAATATCACTTTTAAAACATAAAACACCTTTGCATTCCCCAAAATAAACCTCACTTAGTCACGGTGTATCAGTCTTTTTTACATAACACTGACATTCAGTTTGCTAATATTCTGTTTTGAATTTCTGCATCTATGCTCATGAGAGTGGTGTGTCATTTTCTTTTCTCAAAATGACCGTGTCAGATTTTAGTACCAAGTTTAGGGCTGGCTTGTGAAACTAACCCACTTGGAAAATGTTCACCACGCCACTTTTGAGATTAAGCAATGCAGCTGAACTGCTTTACTCTGGATTTTGATGGCTGACATTAAGAAGTTGTTCGGCATCACGCTGTACATATAATTACCTCATCTGTACTGCCATTGTCCTTATCTTCTGACATCTCATTTTCCCCATCTTCTATCTCCTTTGGGGAAAGACTCATTTTCTTCAGTTCACCTTGATTTTTTTCTTGCTTAAAATGGACAAGATTATTAGGCACATCACAGGGCCTTCAACATTCCATGTCACACACATTTTGCCTCCAGGATTTGCAGTACGTTTCCATTTGGAAAAAAATTGGTGTTAGGCCTCATCCTCAAGTTATTTTCACTTGGATCTTTTAGTTACACCAGCAAATATGAAGATACATAGAAAAAGAAGATAATTTTCAGTGTATGTTTGTAGGTCAGGTCTCCTATACCTTCTCTTTTGCCACGATCTAGAAATGGAAACTCTTCAAGGTAAAAAAGGCAAGCTTTCAGGAATTCCTCCCTTTTCTTCTCATTCTGCTCGCTTCACGACGCGTTTTCAAATAACTGTGATGTTCTTAAAAATTAATTCCTTAACCGACCACTCAAACGGCAGCACAGGGACAAAATAAAGCCCCCATACGGGAACACAATCAGTAGCTACAATTCAAGTGTCTTTACCTCTCCAGACTGAAAACTCAGTGTTAAATGAAGCAGCGTCCATCTCTACCCCACTCAGAATTTACAACACAAATAAGCAGTCTCAAGCCAGAACCTGTAACTACCACTTCCCAGGTTAACCCGCACAGTCTCGTCTCTGACGAGCTCTCCTTTAAGGCTACGGCGAGTGCAGGGCCCCGCCCACCCAGCCGCCTGCGGGTCCCGCGCTCTGCAGCCCCGGGCTGGGCGCCCCAGATCACCCCGCGGCGGCTCCCGGGCGCCCACACGTCGCGAGCGCCCTCGCGGGGACAACCCAAGACTCTAGGCCCGGGCGGAACACAGCGCGGAAGACGACAGAGCCCTCGTGACTCCGCCTCGACCAATCAGAGCCCGCGCCGCCTCTGGGCCAGTCCCGAGCCGCGAACCCTGGGAGGGGGCGGGCGGTGCGACAGCCTGGAGGCGAGGCCTCGAGCCGGGCCGCATGTACTGCGCCTGCGCACACGGCGGGCATTTTGGTTCTGGCGGGTGCGGAGGATGTTGTGTGGGTCTGTTTGCTCCTCTCACAGAGGGCAGTCCGGCGTTTTCCCCAGGTTGGCCGGGGAGGAGGCGCAGGACCCTCAAAGTTCGGGTGCCTGCCGGGGGTCACACGGCCCGACGCTCCTCTGCCGGAGGGACCGTGAAAAGTGAACAGCGGTCATAAGAACAGCGGTCATTGAGGGCTCGTGAGTCCGAGTCGGCTCCAGGCGCTCATTTAACCCGGTTAACGCCGCGCACTCAGTGGGGTCTGTGTTAGTACTGTGGACGCTTCACCGAGAACAAGGCACGGGCGTTCCAGCGCGAGGTGGGCGGAGACCAGAAGCCGGCGGTGCGACTTAGGGGTCAGCCTCTTGTCCCCGGACACCGCCCGTCGCTGCCCACCGCGTCTGAAGCTGCCATCAGAGCAGTTAGTAAATGGTCATAGCTAAGACGTATGAAAACCTGCTTTGTGCCCGGCATGTAGTGGTGTGTTTTTCACATTTTATCATGGACTTCTAAAAACAAACTTGCGACTTACAGTTATTAATAATTTCATTTTGTATTTAAGGAAATTGAGGCTCACAGAGGTTAAGGAACTCCTCTGTGGCTATTGATTTGCGTCCTCAATTGCTTAATACTGTCTCCTAGTTTCTTTGAGTTAAACCATCATTAACGCGGTCTTTCAATGACCATTAGCACCAGTAGGCCCAGTAGTTGGATCAAAATCCTAGGAATTATTCCCACATTGGGATTTGAAAAAGGACGCTTTGGGATACGTGTGTGTGTGTGTTTGGGGGGTGGAGGAGGGTGGTCCTGAATAAGGGGCCCTGGCCCGGTCCTGACTTCAGAAAGCACCAACTGCGAAGTAAGGAGAATTAGGAAGGACGATTTTCCTAGATATTTTAGATTTGGTGCCTCGCCAAATACTTTTACCTAACTTACTTTACAAGACTAGCCCAATTTCTTTTGGTTGTTTGTTTTATTGTGAAATTTTTGTTGTATGTTATGGTTTGTCAGTCACCATATAAGTATATCCCTCCACTCCTTGTGCCCACCCCCCCATACCCTTTTCTCGTGGTAACCACCAAACAGTTCTGTCTGTCCATGTGTTGGTTTATATTCCGCATATAAGTGAAATCATGCAGTGTTTGTCTTTCTGTCTTATTTCACTTCACATCATACCCTCCAGGTCCATCCATGTTGTTGCAAATGGGACGATTTTGTCTTTTTTTTATGGCTGAGTAGTATTCCATCGTATATATATACCACATCTTCTTTATCCAATCATCTGTCGTGGGACATTGGGTTGTTTCCATGTCTTGGCTATAGTGAACAATGCTGTGATGAACATAGGAGTGCATAAGTCGCTTTGGATTGCTGGTTTCAGGTTCGTTGGGTAGATACCCAGTAGTGGGATAGCTGGATCATAGGGGATCTCTATTTTTAATTTTTTGAGGAATGCCATACTGTTTTCCATAGAGAATGTGCCAATTTGCATTCCCACCAGCGGTGAATTAGGGTTCCTGTTTCTCCACAGCCTCTCCAGCATTTGTTGTTTTTTGTCTTGGTGATTACAACCATTCTAACGGGTGTAAGGTGATATCTTAGTGTGGTTTTGATTTGCATTTCCCTGATGATTACTGATGTTGAGCATCTTTTCATGTGCCTATTGGCCATCTGTAGCTCTTCTTTGGAGAAGTGTCTATTCATTTCCTCTGCCCATTTTTTGAGCAGGTTGTTTGTTTTTTTGTTGTTCAGTTGTGTGAGTTCTTTATATATTGTGGAGATTAATCCCTTGTTGGCTATATGGTTTGCAAATATTTTTTCCCAGCTGGTGGGTTCCCTATTCATTTTGATCCTGGTT